GTTTGAGACCCCTGTCTTAAATACATTATCCCAGCAGGCAGATAACTATTAACATCATACCTTGATTATATTACATTTATATCCCTCCTCTTTTCCTCTGTAAAACCCAACATTTTACAGAGCCAGAATCTCACCATTAGTTCTTCACTGGTGTTTTCTACTCCAGCTTGTGCCATTAGTCCAGTGACGTGCTTCTCTAGATCATCTATACGTTCACCCATTTCATCCAGTAAAATGGTTAAAGAACATTGTGTTTGCCTTCTGTGTCTTAAATGTGTTTTGTGACAGTGGGGAGAGTGATTGAAGTTAGACTAGTCATTCGTAACTCTTAAAAGTGAAACAGAACTGAAGGACATGCTAAACAAGTTTGGTTTAAACTGATAAAGGGCTATACTACTCTGTTTACAATGCTTATCTAATCATGTGTGACATTTGTGTCATTCTCCCCACAAAGCAGTTTGGAAGTGACTTACACAATGCAGAAATCCACAATTAATACAACAGGTAGGTAAAATCAATATGAACCATAATCAGTACAATAGTGCAAGAAAACATAGAAACATAATCTAAGGGCAGTACAATATGAAGGAATGACAATATAAATACAACTCTTTAGTTCCTCCTTTTGGATTGTGTCCTCTAAAGGAAAAGCATATTAAAGTAAATTCAGTGTAATGATTTTTCTTTCATGTTGCAAAATGGAGCTTAATTTAATGCACTTGGAACTGCTGATTATCAATAATCTCCCTTCTGCAAGTATTTTTCAGTGCTACCTCAGTTATATCGAGTTGTAGAAAGACATACAACCAACTTGAGAGTTGATTTGTATTCAGCTGAATCTAATGTTCTTAACTGCTACATGAAGTCAACATTGATATATATTTGGCTGTAATAAATAGACCGCTAAAAACAAGTATAATCCTGAGGTATCTTATGCTTATCTCAAGCAGTATAGACATATTTGCTTTTTTAATGCAACATTAACAGATTAGTATTAAAATAAAATTGCCTTATATTTAGTATTTGCCATGACAAACATGTTTGATAGTAGCATAAAATATTCTGCGTGAATACTATACTAATAAAGGAGGAGAATTTACCCACCCTTCTTCCTGCCTCTTATTTATCCATTACATTCATGGTGTCTCTTGCAGAAGTGACATGCTGGCAGTCTTCCCACAAAGCTGTAACTGAGAAACTGCTACAGCCTAAACTTGATTAAGGCTGTAATACTATACACCCCAGGGTGTCAGCTCCACTGCATTTAATGAGACTTATTTCTGAACAGACAAGTATCCCATGTTAAGAGATTTCTGAATATGTACTTTTGAAAGGCAAAGGTCCATTGATGGGTCTATTTGCATGAAATGACAGCCCACTATGGATTAATTAGCCTATGGTAAGGGTGCAGTGCACATAGTGTATGTGGGGTAACCAATACGAACGTAGAACTCCTGCTTGGGGCTTGTCTGAACCAGCTGAAGATAGATTTATGTGAGGGTTGTTTAAACCATGCTCATCACTAGGTTGATGTGACAACCCAAGTGAAATGTGGTGTCTGTAGGCACTGTTGCTCGCCATGAGGTGAATAAGCCACCATGATCTGTGGTGAGTTGTCCAAACCCAGTCAGTGTGATTGACTGCAATGGCTCATCTTTGGCCCCTTAATCTCCCCTTACTTTTTTGACCCAAGTAATACATCATGAGCAACATTATCTTTATAAAAGAGAATTTTGTTGGGTAACCTTTTCTATTAGCTTAGGCTTTCTTGAGAGCTTCTACCACAAATAGCTTTCTTATATGTATTTAGCCTGACTGATTTTTATCAATGTTATACTATCTTTGAATGGATTATAACCATTTTTTCAAAATGCTAGTTATAAATCAAGTAGATTAACTACATTTAAGAAGCTATTTATAATTTGCAGAATTTTTGGTTCTAGTTTTACAAAAGGAACAGGAAAGGATATTTCTTAGAGTTAATTTGTCTGTCAGTGCTTGAAAGTTTTCCTGCAACTGTTGCAGTAGGTTTTCTGCCTGAAAAAAAAAACACCAGATATTGTTAGCAAATGTTTATGATACTGGAAAAATATTAAAACTAAATTAAAAATATTAATAAAACTGGAAAAGGGAACCAAACAAAACATGCAATTTATATGTTTGCTGTAATATGAATAAATATGCATACAGTCATGAATCAAGTTGCCATAGTTTTTAACAATGGATTCCTGTCTTTGTTTTCAGTACCGTATGTACAGATAAATGCTATGAGCACCAATTGTAAAGAGAGCATAACATAACACTTAGCAGCAACATACTGAGAGCTTTAAAAAAAAAAAATCTAAAGCCTTGCCACTTGTTTTCTCTTGCAGAAGTCTCTGTACCGTTAAACAACTTCCTAAAAGTTGATCTCCCCCACTGTAGGGGCAACCTGTTGAGTTTCCGCCCCTAACAGCCTGTAAAAGGCGTAGACCATCTTCATAGGAAAGGTGCCCTCTGCTCCTCGCTGTTCTTGTGGTGCCCACCCTCTTCTCCACTGTCGCCTTGGCGCGCTTACATCTCTGCTGAAGGCGCCAAGAAATATTCCCCCCCCCCCCCCGGCACAGAAATGTAATCCATAATAATCAACCGCTGTCCCTCTCCGGCTGCGAGCAACGCGCTTATTTATGGACCGAACGCATTCCCACCCCGCCCATCACGAGGGGCGGCCGAGACGCGGCCCGCACGTGCGGCAGGCCCGCCCGGGACAGGCACGCGCAGTCCGCCCCAGGCTGCCGCGTCGCCGCCCCAGCGCCCGCACTCACGAACTGCGAGAGCTCCTTGGCGCTCTGAGGGTCGTTGCCCGCCATCCGCGCTCCTTCCTCCGGCAGAGAAGCGCCGCCGCCCCGTCGTCGTCCTCGCGTCCTCCCGCTCCTCCTGCTGAAATGGCCGTTCGGCCCGGCTTCCTCCCGCCTGCCGTGCCGCCCAGAGAAACAGTAACGAGCAAAGGCCGCCTCCCTGCCTGCCCGCCTGCCTCCGCCCAAACGCTACGGAGCCGCGCCGACAGTCGAGCCTTGCTTCCGCCGCGGCCGCATTCGCGACCTTCTCCGCGAGGCAGCCAATGGGAAGGGCCCCAGTGGCTCGGCCTCCCGCGTCGCTCCCGCACCTTCCACGCGCTAGGCGCGCTCGAACGGGTGGTCCTGACTATCTGCGGTGCGGGATTTGTACTACTGCTCTCCCGCTTGAAAACTCGTTCACCGCTGAGCTCTAAACAGCAAAAACAGCAAGAGTCTTCCACATTCAAGAAAAAAGTTGAAGAAAGCATCCTTAGCCCTAGGTGCAGGGTTTCATTTACTGCGCAGGATGGCTGTTTTGGCGGTTCAACTTTATTATGCGCGTCGTGAATTAAGAATGATGTTTTCCCGACACCAAGACACGTGAGAGCAGTTTTTCCCTAGACATGTGCCCTTTACACATTTTGTCCATTAGTCAAGTTTGGGGCTGATGGGAGCTGGCACTGGGGCGTCTAGATCAAGGGCTGCTGTTTTAGGAAACAACTGTGCGTAGGCACCTCTTTATGGAAAGGAAGCACTATGCACATTTGGATACTGTTCTAGTATAGGGGATTCTAGATTCTTAACCACCTCGACTGTGAACTACAGCTAGTGTAAGCTGGTCTTTTCAGCCTCTCGCCAAACACAGCTTTGACCCATATGAGAGGAGGAGTAACATTTCATGCAGTTATAGCTTTTAAAGCTACATATGATTGTGCTGGTATATCGGAAAGAAGACTTCACCTATGACCTTTTACACACAGGGAAGTAACTTAATGTGTTTCTGCCCTAGTGACATTGTTACGAGCCTTCAAGTTGTCTTCAGCATATGGTAACCCTATGAATGAAAGCCAAAATGTTCTTTTCCAAGTTCAAGGCAGTGGCTTCCTTTATGAATTCAATCCATCTCATATTTAGTCTTTCCTAGTGACAATGCAGTAGTGTAAACCAACACTTTGGCAACACAACTAGGGTAATGGCGAAACTGATGATTTGCTTCTGCAATGTAACTAGCACTTGCTTGGAAAACAGGGACTCTGTTAACAACTCTTAACAGATATTTCCATTTTCCTAGCCAGAATAAAGTAACTAGCAATTGCTAGGGTAAGGCAGTGGGGGAGTTGTTCAACATACGTGGCTTTTTCCTGTTGTTCTAGCAAGTGCTAGTTATATTGCACAAGCATTGTGTTAGTGTAAAGCAATATCATTAGTGCTAGCACTGAGGCACAGTTTGCTACAATCCATGGTATGATAGGGCAGATAAGGACTTCATGACTACTGATAGAGGCATGTGAATGAATTGGAACCAAGCCTTTGGTTTTCCAGTCTGTTAAGTGAGAATAATAGAAGTTCAGCTTTCAGGGCTCTTGTGGAGATTAAAAGGACAACATTTGAATGCTCTGCATTTTATCCTGCATTCTGTTGACTAATTTGGCTTTTAAATTTTGATTTGTTATATTTTAAATGAATAAAATAAAATCAATTGCCTTGACAGCCATCTAGGACCAAAATAAATATTACCAGGAACTTGCATGAAAATATTCAGGGAGTTTAAAATGCTTTATCATATCAATTAGAATCTTCAATATATCAAGAATAGGTAACCTTTTTGGGCTGTGTGCTCACTGGGCAATTTGAGAAACTATCTTGAGACACCCACCAGAAAATGATAGCCATGGAAAGTGAGGCAAAGGACAAATAACCTTCCCCAAGGCCAAAGTGGGTTCTAAGCTTCAACACACTCATTCCTTTAAACTCACAGTTTTTAGCACCAAAACAAACCTTTTTCTTAGCAATTCCAGCTGCCACTAAGAAAAGCACCTTAGTGGATACCATTACCAAGGTTAGCAATTCAAAACCAAAGGACACCCTGGAGCTGAGATACCCCCACTTGAGGTATAGATATCCTTCCACTACAGTTTGGAGAGGAGAAGTGAAGCTCACAGATCAGCTTGTGTCAGCTAGAAGCATTTTTGAGACCTTTTCTTTGAGTTGTTGAGCCCTACACCATATCAGACAAACTGTTTTAAAAACCTCCCTGAGTTTCAAAAGCATTTTTCTGTCTGGCTAGGAAAGAGAAATGATTGTTCTATAAAGGGCAAGTTTAAAGCCCACTTGGAATTAAAATTAAAAAAAAAATCACAATTCATTAGATCCTAACCATAATGAATGCAAGTAATAAATGTAATATTTAAATGAAATTGCCTTTATCTTATCAGGAATTTTTAAAATAAGGAGTGCCTGGTAATCATAATTTAAGGTTGAAACATTCTCTCAAATGTTCTTACTCTTGAGTACACAGATGGCAGAAAAAATGCTAGAGAGACAGACAGGACAAGTTATACCAGTATGGCATGTCATAACCACCTTTCTCTGAACTCATTCGAGTTATCCATAAAACATTAGGATAGTTAGAGATTTTGATGAATTGAGATGGTATAATTTCTATGGTTATATTTTCATATTTATATAGGAAAGACATTGTGGGTTGCAATTGTTTATTTTATTTATTTTATTTATTTTTCAATTTATATCCTGCCTTTTTCCTACAAAGGACTCAAGGCAGCTTACATCATTCTCCTCTTCCATCTTATCCCCACAACAGCAACAACCCTGTGAGGTACGTTGGGCTGAGAGTCTGACTGGCCCAAAGTCTCCCAGTTGTCTCCATGGCCAAGCGGGGACTAGAACCCAGATCGTCTGAGTCCCAGTCCCATGCTCTTAAGCACTACACCACACTGGATATTGTGTGCTCAGTGCCTAACAAACACAACCAATTGCACCTTCACAGCACTACTGGGTGTGTCATTCATTGTCAACATTTTCATTTCATGTATGGGAACATGGAAAAGGAAGATTACATACCCAATGCTACACAGAAAATTAATATTTGAATGTTATTGATTCAAATACTGGGCAAAAGACTAAACTTCTCTTCTTACTATTGTTTGACACTTATTTTAGTTATGAATGGGCCAGGCAGTGAAGTCATAGGTGTTTTTGGTGTTACTGTGATTAATTAAATTTCTTAGATGACTTTCTTAGAAAAGACCCAAAGACAAAAAAATTAAAGCATACATAGTTTAAGACAACTAAAAGAGCCAGAATGGTGTGGTGGTTAGACTATTGGACTGGGGTCCTGGGAGAACTGGGTTCTAGCCCACTCTGCCATGGAGCTCACTGGATGACTTTGGGCCAATTGTTCACTTTCAGCCTAACCTACCTTGCAGGGTTGTTTTGTGAAGATAAAATGGAGATTTGTAAGCTGCCTTGGGTTCCTCACAAGAGGAAAAAAGGCAGAATATAAATGCAGTGTGATAATAATAATCAATGATTCACATCAAAGCTAAAATGTAACCACCTCATCAAGTATCTAGAACATGAATAACAATCATAGGCAGTTAAGCAGCTTAACTCAGTTGATTCATTAAAAGCATTAATCATATGCCATGAACTGCTGGGAACAGAGGAAAGTCTTCACTGTCCTCTGGCAGCAGAAAGTCAACAGTTGCCAGTGGCAGGTGGACCTCTAACCTTATAAAGCCTTATGGACTGGGACCACAATCTAAGTGGGAAATATCTGGCAGCTGCCTCTGATTGCCACCTTTGAGGAAGGCTTGGTTGGCAGCAACAAGGAGAGCACCCAAATTGTAGAACAAGATCACCACTGAGATCCACCTGGCATCAACTGTGCCCTCTTTCCAGCACCAAGTTAAGACTGTCTTCTATGCAAGTATATTTAATCAGTTCTGAATAACACATTGGGGCATTGCATCACCTGTCTAACTGGTTTTGTCATTTAATTTGTTTTAGCTATTGTATCTACTTAAATTTGGACTTAAATTTGACTTTTAAATTTTATATTAAAATTGTATGATGTTTTAACTATTTGTATTTTTATATTTTTGTGCTATTGTAAACTGCTCAGACAGCTTCCATTATTGGGCAGTATAGGAATAAATAGTTATAATACCTCAGTGGGCAGACCATGTATCCAGTAGTCTCATTTGATTAGCAGGCAAAAGTCCAAATATGGAAAGTGCCTCCATCTGAGTTTGAATATCCCTTTCCTCTTCACCATTCATAAGGGTCTGCTGATCCTCCTTGTAGCATGTTTAAGGGCTTTATGGTGGCTATTAGGGAAAGCAAAAGGTAGGAAATCTGCTTCCACAGATTCTTTTCTGATTATTTATTTATTTAAAACATTTGTATGTTGCCCAATTGTGCCACAGCACCTCTGTGTGGCTCACAATTACAAGATTAACGTTTTATTATCAGAAGTCCTTTGTCCAGAAGGCTTTTTACCTAAATTGTACAGAATTGACAAAAGATAAGGGGGCGGGGGAGTTGAGGATTGTGAGACTTGGGAAGACCATCAACTGGCAATAGAAGTTTGGGTTAGAGAAGGCTAGACAACTTCAGGAAATTTCACACTCATCTGAGGAGCTTTGTGTAAAAGTGTTTAAAAATACTATTCAGCCACTGCTTCTCACACACACCATAAGCACTGTTCCGGACTATTGGGTTCAGGAGGGGGTCCCCCTTCAGGATTCTATTTTTCTATCCAAAAGAGGATTGCTGTGTCTGGAAAGTAATGTTAGGTGGGATATTATTATTCTTTATCATTATAAAGTGCCTCATATTTCCAAAGCACTGTACATGGGTAGGAAAGATAAACTTCAGGCACCAATGCTTGAAAGTACATAATTTCAGCAGTGTCATTTTATCTGGACTGGTAGACTTCCCTGTCTTTAAGTATACACACAGTACAGCAGCTCTCAATCCCCTGGTCAGTGGATGTGCCCAGCGTATACTTGCTTTTCAGAGCAACTAAGAATTAATTCTCAGAATTCTTTCTGGCAGGAAAGGAGCCTCTCTGCATCTGCCAGGCTGTTCTTCCCCTTGCTTGCCAAGAAGTTCTCCCTGGAAACAGGAGGTGCAGTCTCTCAGTGGCTCGTAGTTTCCTGGCTGATGTCAGAGGCCAGTGTAAGCAGTCCCAAGGCAGCATGGATAGACCTTTGTTACAAAGACAAAAAAATGCTTCCTAGGAAAGGCTTGGTGGTAGGTTTTGTTTACAACAATACTGCCCAGTTTATGTTGCGAGCTACACAGAATCATAGAATAGTAGATTTGGAAGGGGCCAAGAAGGCCATCTGGTCCAACTCCCTGCTCCCTGCTCAGGCTGGATCATCCCTCTCGGATGGTTGTCCGTGAAGGGCCAGAGAAGTGCTTTTCAATATGAATTTGCAAACATAATTGTACAGTAGTTATACTGGAAGCTGGACAGGAATACTTGTAGAGAAGTTATGATTAGAATGTTTACTTTAGTTGACAGTTACAGGATGCAGGTCAATGACATACCTGATTCATATCAATATAAAACAGTTGGAACAGCATGATGCTTGTTAATGCATAGGGTTGTATCTAATGTAAATGTAACTTAAGTTTCATTCACTTCAATGTGTATACTTAGGGATAACATTAGATACATCCTGTAAGGTAAGGCTGCCTGACCTAGCTGATGAGCATAAGAAATTATGTTTGTGTATGGTCTTTGTTTTCATAAGTACCCAACAGTAAAAGATTCTGAACTAATTTCATATCTTGGAGGCATTTTATTTAGTTTCTACATTTATGAGTTCCATTTCAGTCCAAATTAGAACTAGCTGACTTACAATTAGAACTTAAAACAATGTTAAAATGTTAGTTATGGGTATCTAAGAATCTGGATTGTATAGATCAGTGGTGGCGAACCTATGGCATGCGTGCCACAGTGGGCACACGGAGGTCTCTCTGTCGGCACCCAAGCCAAGTTGCCCCAGCATCACCCCAGCAGCCGAGCACTGGATAACAGCAGACATAGAGTCCATGCACATGCTTGGAAAGGAGTAGTGGTGCCAGGCAATGATGTCACAAGTCGCAACACATTAGCTGCGACTCGTCCGAGCTTTCACATGGCTGGTCAGTGCACTGCCAAGGATATAAGTATATATATTTGCTTGGACTGGCTGTTTTCAGGTTTTATTGAAGTGTTGGCACTTTGTGATAAATAAGTGGGTTTTGGGTTGCAGTTTGGGCACTTGGTCTCTAAAAGATTCACCATCACTAGGTTAGGGATAGAAAAACGAGGTGTCCTGGCATGATTTTGATGGTTGGAATCTGTTTAAAATGGGCAGAAATGAAAAGCTGTGCAGAAAAGGCTATTCAAGGAAGGCTTTTTCCAATATTGCCCTCTTTTCAATGGTATTTTACCCCTATATTAGGGTTAGGGGAATGCACCAGGGTAGGGTTAGGCCAGTGATGGTGAACCTATGGCATGTGTGCCACAGTGGGCATGCAGAGCCCTCTCTGTTGGCATATGAGCCAAGTCGCCCCAGCATCGCCCCAGCAGCCGAGCATCGGATAACAGCGCACATAGGGGCCATGCGCATGTTCAGAAAGGAGTAGTGGCACCAGGCAATGACGTCACGAGCCATGACTCATTAGCCGCAACTCATTCGAGCTTTTGCCAAGGGGTGGGAGAGAGAGAGAGAGAGAGAGATGTTTGCTTGGATTGGCTGTGAGTTGTTTTTTCTAAACGAAAACCTTGGTTTTCAGGTTTTATTGTAGTGTTGGCACTTCGCGGTAAATAAGGGGGTTTTGGGTTGCGGTTTGGGCACTCGGTTTCTAAATGGTTTGCCATCACTGGTATTTTTGTTCTCCTTTAGGGTTACTGGCGGCTTTTTGAAAGACCATTTATATCAGATTTGGCTTTAATTTATATCTAGCTATTATCTGAATTGGAACCCTCAGAGCTGTTTAATGCTTGTCTTTAAAGTCAAGAAATTCTGCATAACTATTTTGGCCCAAAGAGACCCCAGAGTGATAATTGGGCTATTGAGGGATGAAACTAAGCTTGTTAGATTGGGGCATTGGATTTAGTGTGCCAGCTTTTATCTCCTGCCTTTACATGGGTACAGATATTCAACTCTAGCAGATTGTTTTATTTTTCCCCTATTGATAAAGGAAAAGTAAAAGGGTTAGTAGAGGTTAGCTACTGTGGACTACATGGACAACTGCAGTCTGCCTGTGGTTCAGAATGATGCATTACTTGCACAATGATATGAGCAAGTTGTTAGAACGAGATGCATGATGAGTGTTACATGAGAGGCATGACCTCTAGCAACTCTGAAGTATGTGCTGTTACTTACCATTAAAAAGCTATTTATGGAACAAAGGCTTTTCTAATGCTTCTAGATTAGTATAGCAGTACTGTTGTTTACAGCTGAAATGCACGAAACATTGCAGTATGCTCACCAGACTATATCAGATGCTGCTAAAATAAAATGGAATACACATGCTGGATCTTTTCAGGGGTCTGATACTACTTTCTCATCAAATGCACACATTAGTATCTGACTTCTTGTACACTTAATGTATATAGTAACACTCTGCAATCAACTGCAGAATAAAGAAAATAAGGCAGGCATGTTGGACTCCAGCATCCAGCATCTCCAGCTGGCATGAATAGCTGGGGAATGCTGGGAGTTGCAGAAGAACCCATCTGGGGGGCTGGATTAGCGGCAGAGCAGCGTTAGAGCAGCCAAGGGACAAAAGGGCTGGAACCTTTGACGGGCAGTGAAATTATTTTCAGAGAGTTTCCAAAGAATCCTGCTCTTAAATCATCTTTCGCTGCTAGTAGCTCTTAAGGTGCAGTTCTAGGTATGTCTATTTGCTAAGCTCTGTTAAATTCAGTCAGACTTATTCCCTGGTAAATATGGATAACCTTAGTTGCTTTATAAAGATAGTATTGTTTTTATTGATGTTTTAAACATTTTCCATATGTTGTTTTATTTGGCTTTAAGTAGTCACCTTGAACATAGAAGGGTGGGTATACATGCCTATTACAGTAAATTACAGTCTGTCCAAGAGGTTATTGCATCGAGCCAAATAATCACACTAATTCTTAGGGGCTAGAATCAACATTCTGTGCATAGTGGCATATCTGCCAACAGTCTTCTGCACGTGTGCGCGACCGCACGCACGCACGCACGCACCAGCAATTTCTTTCTGCCAATGCACACCTACCACTAGAGTAGCGTTGCTCTTCCTGTGCTTCCTGTCACTTTCTGAAAAGCATCTTGAAACTGGCTGTTTCCTGAGCAACATCGCAAGATGGGACAGGTATGCACATATTAGCTGAAGCCACGCGCTCAGGGGCTTCTTTTTTGCATTTTCTCTCTCTCTCGGCATACCTGCGGGGGTCCGGGAGAACCCAGCTCCAGCGTCACCATCAGCTGGGCTGCCACTGGGATGTGCCCGTTCTTGCAGAAGGCAGAGAACTGAACCCGCGTTTCCCCAATCGGGGAAACAGTTGCTTGCTAGGACCCGGAAGACACGGGGTCCAGGACGGGGGTGGTTCTTTTCATTGACGGAGGCGCTTCTGGCTGGCGTGATGTCACAGAGGCAGGGCTGCTTTTCCTGCTCCTGGATGCCGCCGCGGCTCCCGCTTATTGTCGCCGAATCGCTCGCGAAGGCAGAAGCGACCGCGGCCGCCGCGGGAGGAAGAGCCACGGCACCGCTGCACCGCGGCGCGGACGCTCGCTGCGGCGGCAGAGGAGGCGGCGGCGGCGGCGGCGTGGGCTGGGGCCGCTCCCCCCGCAAGAGGCATGCGCGGCTCTCGCTGCGCGGGGCCCTGAGCGGCGCAACTCCGGCGGAGAAGTGCAGGCGAGCGCCGAGGTGAGGGGGGGGGGGGGGGTCACGGTGCGAGCCGCCTCTTTCCCGCTCCGCTCCGCGGCGCGGCTCGCTTTTCGCGGCGGGGCTGCTGGGGAAGCACTTTGACGGAGTTGCGGGGAAGGGAGCGCGGGCGCCCGAGGGGGGCACCGTCGCGCTGTGCTGGAGGGAGCGCGGCGCCCGGCAGCCGCTCCGCGCGGAGTGCGCGCTCTCTTTCCGGGGAAGGCGTGCAGGAAGCTGCCGGAGGAGCTCGATGGCCCTCGCTGCATCGCTGGAGGGCAGGTAACGCGCCCGGCACCGTCTTCTGGCGGGATGGCTCTGCTGCCTAGAAGTCGCAGAGATGTAACTTCCCGGCAGTTCGTGGCGCGTATGGCCAGACCGGCGGGTTATCTCAGAAGGGGAATCTTGAAGAACTGCATTCAGGCATTCCTGGAGAGCCCATCCCAGCCATAGTTGGAAGCAGCGGAGATGCTTCTTTCATCAGTAACTCTTCATGGTTACCGTTTCTTACCATTGATAGGCTCCTTTTATTTCCAGGACTCGATTTCCCCCCCTCGCCCCTTTATTATTACTGTTGTTAGTCTTGCACAGTAAGTAATTATTATGGTGATCAAATGTACGCGAATGTGTTCTTGTTAAGTTGGCAAAGTTTAATACACCAGTTACTTCGAGAGGAATTAAAAATAAATGTGACTTTTTAAAAGGGCTCCAGATTATGTGTATTGTTTTAAATACAAGGATTTATGAAAAGCGCTGTCTCGCCCTTCCTCCTTTCTGAGAATAGGAGGAAATGCCCTTTACAAGATTATGTTGCTATGACACATGTGTGTGTCATTTTCAAACAAGAAATTCATCTTTATTTTCTTTCAGTACTGTTAATTTTTATATGAGCAAAACAAGAGCACATTAAGAGTGCAATCCCATGTATGTGTAGACAGAAGAATAGATCTACATCACCATGAATCGTCCAGCAAGCATGGCTGGTTGGGAAACACTGGAGCTTGTGGAACATTTTTGGACTGAAGTCGCATTGGATGACACCCTAAGGTTCCCATATAATGATCTTTAACATTTTGATTGTTCTATTCTTTTTGTAAACTGTCCTGGAAATAAGATTGAAGGGTGGTATAAAGATACCTATACTAAATAAATATTGATCAACTAGGATTTTACATGGGTAAGATCCATAACTCTCACTGCCTGCTCACCAAGCATTTTTTTGTTTTGTTTTGATTTTTATTACAGCGAAACTGGATGTCCATTCTTGCAGTGTATGTACATACACATAATATGCTTATCCAGTATGCTTATTTTATTCTCCATGTAATGTGTTTAGTTTTCCAAGTGAACATGTTGACTAGTAAGATATTGGACACTGTTCTTTAGAGTCAGAGACTGCATTCAGAAGTCTGCTTTGAATCATAAATTTCGAGGCCTAAGGATCAAAACCGTAGTAATACATTGTGTGATACAGTAAACTATTTTTATTATGATTATCCTTGGAAATGAAAAATCTAGCACCCTTTCCTGAGGGTTGGGAGATGCTCTGGACCAGACTTGGGGCATATTTGGGGGCTGTAGGAAAGGCCTATGGTGCAAGTGGACTTGCTTCTGTGAGGGTTGGGTGAATGCCATAACACTTTCTGAAATGATTTCCCAGGTGGGATTCATCAACTCACAAACAGGAAATAGGTTGAGGCCTTCATGAGATATTTTCAGCTGAAGTCTCTTGTTTGCAATCTGGAGAAAAAAAGTGTGACTGTAGAAATTCAGAAAGAACTGGAATGCTTTGATGTGAACTAGGTCAGTTACAGCAACTCAGACCAGAAATCTCTTATCATTATGACACAGCTTTGATTCTGTTCTCAGTGAAGTTGAGTGTACAACAGGCGAACCATTATAATGAAAGGCCATCTTGTTTGTCCTGCTATTGACTGTATATGCCCCTGAGTATGACCAATGTCTTTGGTCAGAATATCAGTCTCTCAGCAGATTTGTCCATGCACTACACTCATGCCCATAGAAATAATGAGGAACTTGTTTCTCAACCACAGAGAAACTACAGAATTACAGCAAAAACGAATAAACTGCTTTATAATAATAGAAATTCTCTCTCTCCATGCTACTAGAACTTTAACAGTCTTGTTTACTGTATTCGTATGAAGCAATGTGTCACCACATAGTTTTGTTAAATTTTGAGAGAACTTGGCATGTTGGAATCAGGGCCATTATGAATTAGCAAGTCATTTCACGAGTTATTTCATAACACACTTAAAATCCTGTCTGTTATGTTTTGATACATCTTCTCTTTGAGCTTCCACAGACTTTGACTCAACAAAATAGCTTGAAGAGGAGACAGGAGGCACTGGTTGAGACTTAAGTAATTGGCTTTTACTGGGGCCTTGTGATGCAATGAGGATATTGTTTTCTGTTTGTGAACTCGAATACTTCCATCCAAATTTGAGTTTCTCTCTCTCTCTCTCTCTCTCTCTCTCTCTCTCTCTCTCTCTCTCTCTCTCTTTTTTGCTTTGTTAGGGTTGCATAAAGAATGACACCTTTCCTGAAGGAAGATTAGATATGAGTAAAAACCAATAAAGCCAGAGGAAGAAGTGAAAGGACAACTGCCCTGATGTTAAGGGACTTCATCTTGCCCATCATGGAGGCAGATGGCTGGGACTGGCTAGCAGCTCCCGTTCATCAGCTGATATCCTGGGGTGCCTCTGCAGCCATGGTATTTGGAGGGGTGGTGCCATACATCCCCCAGTACCGAGATATTAAAAGGACACAGAATGCGGAGGGCTTCTCAACCTATGTGTGCTTGGTATTATTAGTTGCAAACATTTTAAGAATCCTCTTTTGGTAAGTTGACCCTTTTAACAATATTGATGTTTTCTCTGTACTTGGTTCATTGGGTATGGATGTGAAAATACTGAGAAGTATGTCTTTCAATGTGGTGTCAGCTTCAGCTGCAGTTAAACTCCCACTGAGTGAGATTAATTTGGTTGCTGAGTTCTGTTTTCTGTGAATCCCTCTCTTCGTCTTTAGCTAAGATGTTGCATTTCAAATATACGGGGAAATTAGAGAGAATGCTTTGGAGAAACCCAAATTGTGGCATTGCATGGAGTTTAACTGCAATACCCACAGTTGGAAGCTGTGGGTATTGTAATCTCTTGCAAAATGTGTATATTGTTTTCAAACCTGAGCTGCAAGTTAGAGCAAGGTATAACCCTACATAAAATCCCTTCAGTTTAACAGATTTTCAAGTTGGCTGTGGAGTCCTTAACTGCACTGAGACCTACCACTTTTGGAAAACTAAACTGGCAACCAAATAATTGAAGTAAAATGTTGTGAAGTATACTTTAAATTAGATAACATCAAGGGTTATTTTGAATTTTGCAGCATTCTTACATTGAAGGAACACAAGACTAACATGTAGATCATACATTTTTCAACCCATTATTGACTGTATATTTTTCAGTTTTCCAGAAAATTTCCAAGCAAATTAGGGCCATCAGTGTAGGAGCATTTTCAGTTTGCATTGGAAAATTTTCTGGTGCCTTAGAATAATCTAAGTGATCACGTTGATTTTCTTGTGCTTAGTAAACAAAACATGTAAAAATTACCCCTTGTTATTTTTAGTTTTGTTTTTTGGCCACAATGTAGCACAAGTATTTGACTTGAAATGTATGAGTAGGAAAATTAAAACAGATGGGCAGCTCAATCCTATGGCCACTAGACAGAATCTAGACAGGTGCAGTATAATTCAAAGTTCCAGCTCTAGTCTTGGAAACCTAGTTGGAGATTGAAGCTGAGAATCTGAGATTGGAGCACCTTCCTCGCTGCCTCTGTCGCTGGCACAGAAAGGACCTTCACACTTTCCCCACTATATCTGTAATCCTCAAAGTTCGGAGGGGCGTGTGCTACTTCATCGGATGACACCTTTAATGTGATTTAGGGCACAGTCCTGTGGCAATGAGTGTAAGCCCCTGAACGCTGAGGCTCACACACAGGAGGTTTAGAGGCAATGTTTACCTTCCCAGTCCTCCCACTCTGGTTTTCCCATAGATACTTGCTTCTGGCCATCTAGCAACAGCCTCAAGGAATGTGAGGAAACTGGCTGGAGTAGCTTCAGGATGCCTTGCATCCTGGTTGCTCCTGTCTCCTCCTGTCCCACTAAATTCTTGGGTCACCTTGAACCCTCCTCTGACGTTGCTTTTTCAACCTTGCAGATCACAGTCTGCTTAAAATGTTTTCTGTTCCGGCATGAAAGGATGGGTGGAGGGGGCAGATTGGAGGACTCTGTTTGACCTTGGAGCTGGGAACCTGAACTCTCTTACGGTCCTTCAGACGGCGTTTAAGGACCGTGAGAGCATTCCCTTCAATGTTATGTAGACCTTTGTACTGAAATAGTTCTCAAAATGCAAAAAAAATACTGTATATCATGTATTTCTCTCACATCGTTGACATCTGAGAAAAAGCAAACATACTAAAAAGTGTTGACACACTGATTAATTTTTGCCCAAAGAACTATGCATATCATGCCAAGAGCCACTCCTCTGTTTCAAGAGATTTTAGTTCCCTTCCACTGAAGCTGTTCAGTTTCACTGTAACTATTAATTCAGTTTTTGCCTGTGACATGTAGGTATTTCTGTGGTGCATAAATGTTGCTCACATACTTGCTATGAACTTGAAGAACATTACTTACAGCCTTGAAACTACCAACTATTGCAATATTGTATTGCAAATTGCATACATTCCATTTTACTATTATCCTTGAAGTGGAAAACTTTTTCACAGAAAAATAGCGGACTGGAAAATGTTCCGCACTGCATTCTCGTTTGAAACATGCCTCATACACAGTGGGAAATAGGTTTGAACTGTTCCATATTATGACCTACATGCAGATGCATAAATTCTTACACTGAAGTGACTTTTCTGTTAATAAAAACATCGTTGCTATTCCTAAGAAACCTTATAACCTTTATATAGCTTTTAGTTAAATATTTGTAAATATTTATATTTGGTCTTTTGCCACAGCTTTTCTTAATCCCATATTATTAGGAGAAAACTGGCATAGGAAACAGTCACATACCTGACACTGGATTTGAGTCCAATTCCCAACTCTAATCCACTGTCAGAGGCAACATACTTTTCTGTGACACTTTTAAGTAATATTAAAAGTGTTGTTTTAGATCCCAGATAAAAATCTGTAATTGTATTCCCAGCTTTTATAAGTGTTTTCATGGGAGACTAAAGTAAATAGAATATTGAGTTGCAAGTAATGTTGTAGCTCTCTTTCTGTACAAGCAAGCACATAAATAGCTTTATAGCTCAGTTATGCTCTCCATCTGTTGTTGGTTTCCATTCAGTTGGCTGCAAAAATAACAGGATCCTACACATAAAATCTTGCAGTGTCAGGATCTTAGACTTCTGTAAATACTTCTTAGTTCTGTATTGCTTTGTACTCCATTTCTGAAGTAGTATCTTGCTTTGCTTTATGTGGTTTCACTTAAAGCTGGCATTTACAGAATGCGAACATTTTGGCACAGCTATTAGAAGTTCCTGCTTGTAAGGAACACAGTTAATCTCTGAGATTGCTTGGTAATAGATGGCCCATCCAGCTTGACTCCAAATACCCTTAAGGCCGAAGTATTCACAGCATGACTTACTGCCTTCCTACTAAATGCTACTACTTTTCAGATCCTGATTTGCCACTCTTCTGCTCTTATTAAGCAAATATCAAAACAGCCTGTAATATTTAAAGCTAGCACAATCATTTATTTATGTGGATAATTTTTTCTTAAAATATTGTTTATTTTGTGCATTGATAAAAATGCAGGTGTATCTGCGGCCAGCAATTCATTTTATGGGGTCAGAGGAGATGGAGGGTGGTGCGTTCAAGCCCACCTCATCATCCTTTCAATACATGGCCATGGCTATCACTTGTTCCATGTACTTCTCTTGTTGTCAGCTAGAGCCTCAAGCTGATAATTCCTCCAGGAGCCAAGACTGATCCATGATTTTTCAGTTACTGATACCTGATTCATAATGTTCAAACGTTTGGTTGATTTGAGCAATTAATGCAGTGCATTAGAATGTGTTGTTGATTGGGTTCTTTAGCAGTTGCTCTAGTGATGGTGTTGAAAAGTGTACAGAATAGCTTTATTAACCATAATTCAGATGCATCCTTTTACATTATTATTATTATTATTATTATTATTATTATTATTATTACATTTCTATGCCGCCCCTTGCCGAAGCCTCGGGGCGGCTTACAACACAATAAGATACATTGAAATACAATAGAGCATAATAAATTACCACTAAATACAAAAATACAAAAAATACACTGAGATACAATAATATAAAATTAAAATTAACAGTATAAAATAAGTAAATAAAGAATATAGGAGGAGAAAAGAGAAGGAAGAAGAAGTTGCCCTGGCCAGATCATATGTTTTAACAATTAAAATGATGTTTAAATAAAAAGGTCTTTACCTGGCGCCGAAAAACCAGTAACGACGGTGCCAGGCGGACCTCTTTGGGGAGTGAATTCCATAGGTTGGGTGCCACCGCAGAGAAAGCCCTCCTCCGAGTACTTACTCTCCTAATTTCTTTCATGGAGGGTTCCCGGAGAAGGGACTCTCCCGCAGATCTCAAGGGGTGGTCGGGCATATACGGACATAAGCGCTCGTTCAGGTAGCCAGGACCCAAGCCGTTTAGGGCTTTATAGGTCATAACCAACACCTTGAATTGGGCCCGGGCTTCAATGGGAAGCCAGTGAAGTTGACGGAGGACTGGAGTCATGTGAGCATAACGCCCCGTCCCCGTCAGCAACCTGGCAGCTCTATTTTGCACCAATTGAAGTGTTTGGACCATCTTCAGGGGAAGCCCCACGTAAAGCGCGTTACAGAAGTCTAGGCGGGAAGTCACCAGCGCATGTGTCACCGTCGCCAGGCAGTCGTACTCCAGGTAGGGGCGCAGCTGATTAATCAGCCGAAGCTGAAGGAAGGCACTCCTCGCCACCACTGTCACCTGAGCTTCCAATGAAAGCTCCGGGTCGAGGAATACTCCTAAGCTGCGGACCTTGTCCCTAAGATGTATACAGTGGGTCACATAATCTTCCTATTGTCAACTCAGTGTTAGTGATCGGGATTCAGAGAGGAAAATGTTACTACTGAGACACTAACTAACATTTCAGTATTATGCGTGTCAGAAGTAAGCCCCATTCAGTGTTTAGAGGACTGAGGTCTAAAGGTTTTTTTTAGCAACTTATTGCAGATAATAAAACACCTTGTTTTATTGAGTTAATTATCATTGTAGGACCATTTGGGGCTACCTAGTATGCCTGAAAGGAAAAACACAGGTCATTAGAAGTGTAGCACATGTCACCCTGGTATTCTGTCCTGAATACCTAATAGATATAAACATATTTCCATTATAATAAAAAGGTGGTATTTTTTCACTGAATTGATTTAGTGTAGCATTTACGACTTAGTTGTAATACTTGTTCTTAGAACAATTTGTTGTTGTTGTGGTTAGTTGTGAAGTCGTGTCCGACCCATCATGATCCCATGGACAACATTCCTCCAGGCCTTCCTGTCCTCCACCATACCCCGGAGTCAACTCAAGCTCACGCCAACTGCTTCAGTGACTCCATCCAGCCACCTCATTCTCTGCCGTCCCCTTCTTCTTTTGCCATCTATTGTTCCCAGCATTAGGCTCTTCTCCAGGGAGTCCTTCCTTCTCATTAGGTGAACAAAGTATTTGAGTTTCATCTTCAGGATCTGGCCTTCTAAAGAGCAGTCAGGGTTGATCTCCTCAAGGACTGACCAGTTTGATTGCCTTGTGGTCCAAGG